TGTCCCCTGGCCTCAACCTCTAGAGTTGCTGGGATTACAAATTCTTCTTTGAGATGGTTTCTCCTTTACAAAATCCATTTATCACCATCTACTTGTATGAGACTAAAATGAAATTATATGTAAATAAGATTATACTTAAATACTATGCTATAAATAACCATAAATGTCAGTTATTTGTATTTTGAGCTAATTTTATCTCATTTGAAAGTTTGTTTATGTTTGTAGCACTGGGGATCAAAATCAGGGAAGCTCTCCCAAGCTTTATCTCTTGCCTTTTTAAAATTTTGCTAAATTGCCAAGGCTCACAACTTGTGTCACCAAGCCTGTGAAAATATATTGTGTTGCACACCTGTAATTCCAGCAGCTCAGGCTGAGGCAGGAGGATAACAAGTTCAAAGCCAGCTTCAGTAACTTAGTAATCTGAATACAATATTTTATTCATAAGTAAGGGAACATTCATATTGTTATTTGATACACTTGTTAATATAGTACTTAGTATATCAAATAACAATATGAATGTTCCCTTACTTATGAATAAAATATTGTATTCAAATGATTAAAGACTATGCAAATTCTTTTTCTGTTCTACAAATATTTTATAAAATAATGAAATCTCTTAATATATAGTGTTCTATAAGGAGTAATCATAATAAAACTAATGATCAGAACTTGGTAAATTCACTCACATGTTCCCCCACCCTGAGAAGTATATATACATGTTCCCATGTGTAAGCACACTCATATATTAAACCCAAGTGAGGATTTGATAAATTTTGCTGGAAAGAACTTGATCAGTGTGTTACAAACATGGTCAGGTATGGGAAGAGATAACTGGAGCTTAGGGCTTCTTTTCTAGTATTATCCATGATTTTCCCCAGGCCCAGAAGAATAAAACAGTTTGACTTAAAAAACAAAAACGGAGGGGCTGTGGCTGTGGCTCACTGGTAGAGTGCTCGCCTGGCACATGTGAGGCACTGACTTCAATCCTCAGCACCACATAAAATAAAATAAAGATATATGTCCCACCTACAACTAAAAAAATACATATCTTAAAAAAAAGTTTAAAAAATACCCCAACAACCAAGATCCACAATATCCAGTAAGAACATAGAAGCTATTTTCTTCCTGGCATTAAAAATAGGCAGCAGCTGGATGCACCCCTGTAATCCCAGCAATTTGGGAGGCTGAGTCAGGATTGTAAATTCAAGGCCAGCCTATGCAATTTAGTGAGACCCTATTTCAAAATAAAAATTAAAAAGGACTGGGGGTGTAGTTCAGTGGTAGAGCACTCCTAAGTTAAATCCCTAATACCACAAAACAAAACAAAAACCCATGGGTAGTAAAACTGCGGCCATATCCCTAAGGAAATCTGGACACTCCTTTGGGAGGTGACAGAATTTTATACTTAATCCCTGTTTTTATAACCACCTTTAGCTGAATATCTCAAAATTCTTTGCAAACATAGTATCTAAGACTCTCAACTACAAGGAAAGAATTAGGCCTATTTCAGATAAGAGAAAAAGTAAGTGATTGTTAACAGGAATTAGAAAAGAAACTAGATTCTACAATACCTGGCTCTCTCAATGTTGTCCTTAAGGAAAATGTCCAAATAATATTCCCAAAAATGGGAGTTAGGCTTACAAGCCAATGCTTTTTTATAACAGAGGCTAAGTGCAAAAAGTAGTTAGAACAGAAGTTGAGTGACCTTCATTGGCGTTAAGACAAGCATTCCAAGCCTAGTTCACCACTATTAGTTATATAACCCTGAACAAATCAATCAATTTCTTTAAACATCAGTTTCCTCATCTGTAAAACTGTAACAAATCCATCTCACAATGTTGTAAGGATCAAATTATGTATGCCAGTCATGTAGGTCCTCAGATGCCAGCTTGCTTGTTTTCCTTTACCTTTAAGTGAACAGATACATAGAAAAAAAATAAATATATGATTGCTATAATTGTTTTTGCTAATTTAAAAAACCTGGGTGCTGTCAACCCAATTCTTGGCTAAATTAAGAAATGGCCTAGGCACAGTGGCACACTGACTCCCAATGACTGGGGAGGCTTAGGCAGAAGGATAACAAGTTTGAGGCCACAATCCCAGCCCCAATTTTTCAATTTTATTTTGAGACAGGATCTCACTAAGTTGCCCAGGCTGGCTTAGAACTTGCAATCTTGGTAACTTAGTGATTATCTTAGTGAAAGCCTGTCTCAATAAAAAAAAAATAAAAAGGATTAGGGATGTAGCTCAGTAGTAAAGTGTCCTGAGTTCAATCCTCAGTATTTGGAAAGAAAAGGGAAGATAGACAGACAGATAGATAGATAGATAGATGTGTGTGTGTGTGTAGAGAGGTATGTGGGGGGGGGGCAGGGAGTGGAGATATGAAAAGAAAAACCCTAGGACTGTAGTTGTAGCGCAACAGAAGAGCACAAGACCCTGGGTTCAATCCCCACAACACACACACACACACACACACACACACACACAAAGACCTTTAACAATGCTTTAATACCTTTCAATCAGTAGTGGTTTAGAGTTGCCACCAAGTTTTCAAATTAATTTCTATCCAATTTTATTGATATAAGCAAAGACAGAAATTGACTTCAGAGAAATAAAAAATGTAAAATGGGGCTGGATTGAAACTAGTCATAGGAGGTTTGATTCTTCCCTTTCTTTAATTATGCTTTGACATATTTTCCAGAAAGACGACCAGGGGTGCCACATTTCTTAAATTCAAGGAAACTCACATTTTTTTTAAAAAGGAGTTAATATACTATTCCAAAATTAGCCATATAGTATTCTCTTAATATTCTTTGGGTTCAGAAAATAGATCAACAGTATCTGCAAAACTTTAATACTTTATAAATTAAACTCACAAGAGCTGGGTGCAATGGTTCATATCTGTAATCCCAGCTGCTTGCCAGGCTGAGGAAGAAGGATTGCAAGTTCTAAGCCAGCCTGGGCAACTTAGTGAGACCCTGTCTCAAAATAAAATAAAAAAATTGGGGCTGGGATTGTGGCTCAGTGGTAGAGTGCCTGTCTAGCACATTCAAGGCCCTGGGTTCAATCCTCAGCACCACATAAAAATAAGTAAATAAATAAAGGTATTGTGTCCAACTACTTCTAAAAAAGAAATATTAAAAAAATAAAATAAAAATAACGGCTGGACATATGGTTCAGTGGTAGAGTACTTACCTAGCATGTGCAAGGGCCTACATTCAATCCCTAGTACTAGGGGGAGAATAATTAACTTCATAGGGCCAGTAAGACCACCAGACCATAAGCAGACCCTTTTGTTTAGTTTTGTCGGCAGGGGTGATTGAACCCAGGGGTGCTTACCACTAAGCCACATCCCCAGCCCTTTTTGTTTTGAGACAGGGTCTTGCTAAGATGCTGAGGCAAGACCTACAGCATCTTAAAGAGCCTACAAAATCCTTCCTGATACTTATTAACCAAAAGTGAAAGTGATTTATCATAAACAGGGTACCTTTGACCACACACTTCAAAGTAATTTGGCAACTCCATCTTGGTGAGGTTAAATAACACACCCACTTCTAAAGAAGTTTGGCAGGGGCTAGGGTTGTGGCTCAGCACCAGCCTACCATGTGCAAGGCCCTGGGTTCGATCCTTGGCACCACATAAAAATAAATAAAGGTATTGTGTCCAACTAAACTAAAAAAAAACTTAAACAAAATAAATAAGTTTGGCAGAATAAAAAATAGAAGTTAACTATTTTAATTCTCCTAGACACTCAAAAACGGCTCCTTTTGAAAGGAAACAAATGGCAGCATCATGAAAATCTCAAACAGCTTATATACAGAGACTACAATTAAAAGCCCTTAAGTGCTTTGAAGCAAAGGATCACACAGCTTTTTACTAGCATTACATTTATGCCCTGCACCCTAGAATCCTTTTGCCTCCAAACATAACACAGGAGAATAAAATTATCTGTCCAAGGTCCAGAGCAGGTAAAGGAAGTCTGCCTCCCAACCCCTTAGATGAGCCCCTCTTGGCTGAATGCTAACGTTCATGAGATGAACTGAAAAATAATAATCAGATTTTTTTTTTTTAAAGAAGGGGTGTGGGATGGAGAATCTCCACTGAATGCTTCAGACAGGGAAATCTAGTGGTATTTCAGCTCTGCAAATATAAACATTTTAACTCACTGACCTTTGAAATCAAGCATTCTTAGTGCATTGAAGACTGTCATCACGATCTCAAGATCAAATCGGTTGGCAAACATTTTTTTCTACCTTATCAATCTCTGGGTATTCTTCCACTCAGTGCCCCATTGACACTCTGGACAAAGAAAGGGTTTGTCCACCCCTCACCCCACCCACGGCAGCAGGGTAAGAACCACAGGGTGCCTCCCAAAAGCTTGGCACAGAACACACAGTGCCAAGGTGCTCCCAGAGCTCTGCTAGTGAACTGTCCTCTGCCCTAAGTGCCATTCCTATCACCTTCATTCCAACTTTCAACAGCGATTGTCAGGAAAAACATGCCTTCTCCTGCAATGCTGCTAAGCGTGCCCCTAGCCAAATGGACACACCCCTCCAAAGCGCTGCCCCTGCAGAATGACATTCTCACTGCCTCCTTTGCCAAATATCCCCTCCCTTCTCACCAAAAGATATCCCCACTTCTGCAGAGGGGCCTTCACCTGCCCCCGCCCCCAATTAAACCCTCCTGTCTGCTGACTTAATGGACAGTTCCCTTCCCCTGGCCGACAGCTTAGTCCGCACCTCAAGCCCCTGGGCAGGGGTGGGGCGCTGGGTGCCTTCAACACACTTGTCGGGGCTTGTCAGATGGTTAGTTACCGGTTACCACCCCGCCGCACTCGCCTCCCTTCTTTCCCTCCCGCTGGTCACCCCTACCCTCCTCCTCGCTTAGGGATACACTCTCAGGACAGCCCCTCTCTGCTGGCCACACGCGAGGCCCCGCAGCCCCCGCCACGCCCCTCAGCTGCAGTCCAGTGCCCCTGGCGGCCACGCCCCCGCGCTCACCCGCAGTCTGGGGCCGGGCACCAGCGGCAGTCCGGGTCCGAGGCCAGGTATCGGCGCAGCATGAACTCCTCGTACTTGTGCATGAGCGGTGGGTCGGCGAGCAGCAGGCGGATGTCGTGCGGGTTGAGTCGCTCACTGCACTCAGGGCAGCTGATGGGCACCCGGCTCTCGCTGATCTCCAGGCGCAGGTAGTGGCGGAGGCAGTCCCGGCACGAGCGGTGCGGGCAGCTGAGTAGGCGCGGGGCCCGCTCCGGCGGCAGCCGCACTAGACACAGTGGGCACTCCACCTCCTCCGCGCCCGGGCCGCCGCCCTCCGCCGCCTCTTCATCGTTGAGTCCGGCCCCCGCGGCCGCGGCGGCCTCCTCGGCCTCGGCGACCGGCTCGGCGGGCAACGCCTCGGGCGGCGGGGCCTGGGCCGCGGCTGGGGCCGGGGCGGGCGGCGGCGCAGCCGGGGGCGGCGGCTCGGCCTGCGGTTTGGCCCGGGCGCGGCGGCCGCGGGCCGAGGCGGAGAAGACGCTATGGAAGGTGAGGCGCCGGCGCCGGCCGCCGCTGCGGCACTTGGGGTCGGGCGCAGCCGCGTGTAGGGATGTGGAGCGCGGCGATTCGGAGTCCTTCTCGGAGCCCATGGCCCACAGAGGTCGAGGAGCCAGGGGCGCCCAGCGCCGCCACAGCTCCCGCCTCAGGGCCCCCCAGCCGGCGCCCCGGCCGCCGCCGCCGCCTCGGCCGCCCTCCCGGAGATAGAAACCGAGCAGCGGCTACGAAGTGGTTATAAAGCCTCCGCCCCGCGCGCCGCGACACACTGCGCAGGCGCCTGTCTCCGACACCTCACAACCCGCGTAGCCCTGGCGAGGGGCGCTGGGCGGGGCCGAGCGGGCGGGACCGCGGGACCCGGGCAGAGCCCCGCCTCCTGCAGGTCAGGTGGTTCCAGCGCAGCCATATTGTAGAGGTTCGGGGTGAGACCAGCTAACTGCTGTTCCGCGCCTCCACCCCGAGTTCCATCACCCGTACCCCCATCACCCCAAGGGGGACTTGGCTGCCTGCCGTTACTTACAGATAGCCTGATTGCCCCTCCCACTAAAATGAGACTCCACTTAACTCATCTGTAAAAAATAGACAGAGGTTGATGAGATGGTGAGTCCCAACTGGTCCACCTTCCAACATTTCTGTTGATACTCTATATTAAGCAAGCAGCATTAATTACCAGAGAATGTATGCATTCATTGAGCATGTACAAAGTGCAAGACATTACTAGATAAGATAGACAGGGTCCACTATCTGCAAGGGATCTGCCGAATAAAGTCAGAATTTCTTAATCTAGCTTTCAGTGCTGTCTGTGAACTGATAAACTATATTCCTTGACCTACCTACCTTTCTGTCTTCCTGATAGCTTGGTTACTTTGCCATTTGTGGAAGGAGGTCCAACAATTTCTTGTGTGGAAGTGCCTACCCCAACTCCTCTGACGGGACCCTTAGGCTTCCTAATGGAAAACAATGTCAACCGTGATAAAAATGCATCAGGATTAGATTTAGTTGCAAATAACAGAAGAAAAAAAATGACTTATAGAAATTCCTTTCTCTTTTTATGAAAAATAAGTCCAGAGTTAGCCAGTCGAAGGTTGCTTAGCCATCCTGATCATTTGGTGAACAATTTTAAGATAACCTCATTATGGTCCACATCCCAAACAGAGGGAAGGAAAATGAGCAGACAGGTGTGTCTTTTTCCTTTTAAGAAGACTGCCTAGCAAATCCTGCACATTTTTGCTTAAATCTCATTGGCCAAAACATAATTACACGGCCATGCTTAGCTGCCAGGGGACTGGAAAATGTAGGGGCTTTTAAAATTGGGTACAATGTGTCCAGCTAAAAATAGTGCTGTGTTCTTTTGTTTGTTTCTTTCTTTCTTTGACACTGAGGATGAAACCCAGGGATGCTCTATCACTGAACTACCTCCCCAACACTTTTCATATTTTATTGTATTTAATTATTTATATTTATGGGCTTTTAAAAATTTTAGTTGTATATAAACACCATAACTTTAATTAATTAATTTATTTTTATGGGGCGCTGAGGACCAAACCAAGTGCTTCACATGTGTGGGGTAAGTGCTCTACCACTGAGCTACAAACTCATCCCTTATGTTTTATTTTGAGACAGGGTTTTGCTAAGTTGCTAGGGTCTCACCAGTTGCTGAAAATAACCTCTGATTTGCTATCCTTCTGCCTCAGCCTCCCAAGTTTTTGGGATTACAGGTTTGTGCCACTATGCTGGGCTAGTGCTCTGTTATTAATAAACAATGTAGAATAAGAGCTGGAAGTAGAACTCTGTGGTTAAGTGCTTGCCTAGCGCAGCCTGGGTTTGAGCCTCAGCAGGAGCACGTGCGCACACACAAGGCATAATGAATACTAGAACATATCTAGCTGTCTTTTTCAAGGACAGTATTTAAAACCAGGTCCCCAGATCTCCAAACTTTTGAGGTAACAACAAGAAAAGAAGAAGAAGAAAAAAAAAACCTGAAAATCAGGGGCCAGTGACCTAAGTGGAAAACCAAGCAAGGATGATGTCACAGATGCTAAGATAAATTGTTTCCAGGAGGGAGTGGTCAATTGTGACAAATGCTGCTGAGAAGTCAAGAAAAGATAAGAATAGAGAAGTGACCATTGGATTTGGCAATACCAAAGAGTCCTATATAGGGATGGGTGGGTATCCTTAAGTAGGAAGCAAGTTTGATGCTAGATGATTAAAACAATTAATGTCTATATTTGGTCAGAATAGGTTAGAGGCTGCTGTAGTTACAAACTACTCAAATATTTTAATGGCTTAACCAACAAGGGTTTATTTTCCCTCTCTTGTAAAGCCTGCTAGGGTCAGGGCACTCTTCACAGTAGTTCTCCTTCATTCCACTGGTACATTCAGAAAGTGAGGCCACCTCCGTCCTGGCTCTACCATATCAACACAGGACTTTCAGGATTGCCTCAATAACACAAAGAGAGCTGGAGGGTTGTGCACCAGCAATGAAATACTTCAACTTCAAGACATACATTACTTTAGCTCACAGACCATTAATCAGAACTTGTCACATGGATCCAATCTAACTGTAGGGGTTGGGGCTGGGACATGTAGGGGGAAAGCATAGGCTATTTAGTAAGCAGTTTATCTCTGTCACAGTTCACTAGAGTCATCTTTTCTTCCTAGTACAGGAGTGCTTTTCCATTGGGTTACAATCTCAGTCCTTTTGATGGTTTGAGACAGGGTCTCATTAAGTTGGCCTCAAACTTTAAATCCTTCTGCCTCAGCCTCCCGAGTTGCTGGGATTACAGGTATGTGCCACCATGCCCAGCTCACCAGAGTCATCTTTGACCATTCCCAGTGACCAATGTCCAGGTTAGTTGCAAAGCCCCTTAGTGGGAGAAAGGGCTGTCTTGTTTCTCTGTCAGATTTTGCTGAAGGAGATGGGGACCTCCTATTCCAGCCAGACCCAGATGCATTTTCGTACTTCTCCCTGTGCAGCTGACAAATAGCTGTCCGAAACTCAACTTGCTGAAAAGCTCAGCACCCCTAATATTTGCTTGACTTGACATTGGCTCCCAAAGTCTACCTCAGTTCAAAGCTGTTACTAACCATGTTCTGGCAGAAAGTTGACCTGGGGGGCTGGGGATGTGGTTCAGTGGTAAAGCATTTGGGTTTGATCCCCTATAGGGGGGAAACAAAAGAGAGAGGGGGTGGGAGAGAACTGACCTCTCATAAATGCCAGTGGTCTTTGTAATAGCTCCAGTTCTACTGGATTTCTTCCTTCCTCAATCATAGAAAGAAACAAAAGTAATTCCTCCCACTTTTTTTCCCCCAGTCTTTCCTTGATAGGAATTGAGTGGCTCAGAGAGATGACACTAGGGAGAAAAGAATTCTTACTAATCTAGTAAACATACATTACAGTTACTACATACAAAGTCCTCTGTCAGGCAGTAGGAGACACGTGGTTTTATGGAGGTTACGGACAAAAAAAGCAGATTGCTAGGATACTTAGAAGGACATGTACAAAAACCCAACAGACCAATGGAGGACACGGCAAGCACTGCTCAGGGTGGTTAGGGATTGCTATCCTGCAGAAAAGACCGCTGAGTTGGATCTGAAAGGACAAGTAAGAGTTGACAATTGGTCACCATTCCCAGTGACCAATGTCCGGATTGTAAAAATTGGAAAAGATATTTAAAACAGGAAGCCAGGAGGAAAGGTTTAGAGGGAAGGCAAAGGCAGGATCAGTCTGAGGAAGTGTGAGCAGCAGGGTGAGACAGGAGGTCAGAATGTCTGAAAGGATGTAACAGAGTCAAGAGAGAATAAAGTCTCTGTGTTATGGCTCCCTTGGATGCAAGGAATTCGAGAAGCCAGGCATGAACAAGCCTAGTCCCAAAGAATGACTTTTGACTCATGAACTGGTGGTACTACAGCAACTGGGCCCATGGACCAGCTGCATCCCAGAAACCAACCAGTTCTTGTACCTTGTCATTCATCTTTGCTTCTTTTGCAAGTCAGCTTCTTTTTTTTTTTTTTTAAATCATTATCATCAGTGTTATTATCATTGTGGTGGTGGTGGTAAAACTATATATGACATAAAATCCACCATTTTAACCAAGTTTTTTTCAGTGGTAGGGATCAAACCCAAGACCTTATGCATGCTAGGCAAGCTCCCTACCACAGAGCTGCAGTCCCAGCCACCTTTTTAACCAATTTTAAAAGCGCAGTTCATTAAATGACATTTAGCACATTTAATATTGTTCTGCAACCATCATCACTATCTAGTTCCAGAACTTTTTCATCTTCCCAAACTGGAACTCTCTTATTAAGAACTCTCTTCTCCCCACTTCCTATTTGTAGACCACTTTTCTCTCCTAACTGGAACTGAGCTGTGCTCTCAAAAGAAGAGAGGGGTCAGGTGTTGTGGCACATGCCTGTAATCCCAGCCACTTGGGACTATGGCAGAAAGATCACGAGATCACGAGTTCAAAGCCAGCCTCAGCAAAAGTGAGGCGCTAAGCAACTCGGTGAGACTCTGTCTCTAAATAAAATGCCAAAAAAAGAAAAAGGCTGGGCTGGGGATGTGCCTCAGTGGTTAAGTGCCCTGAGTGCAGTCCTCGGTACTGAGAGAGAGAGAGAGAGAGAGAGAGAGAGAGAGAGAGAGAGAGAGAGAAAGGGAACACTAAGCAGATGAAATAAGAAATGATCACCAAAGATCAATTAGAGTCAGGTCACCAGGAGCCTTTTGAATTTTATTTTGCGAGGGAGTGGGGCATTGTGGCAGCATCTTGATCAAGGAGAGCCATACATACAATGAAGTTGGACTATAAAACCTTACTTGAGAGTCTACTTTTGAGCTTTCTCTTGCCTTTCAAAGGTGCTACAGAAGCTAATTTTAATTAGATGTTATCTGAATATTGACTGAGTCCTAGCTTCTTCCTTTGGCCTCAGGAATGAACTCTACCTGTTGAGAGTACCGTCTTTTCCTTCTGGGTCAGAAGTGATGAATGCTTAGTCAGCCTAATCTGGCTCATCTCCTATCTCCTGGGTCTTCTGACATGTTGCAATTAATGGCCTCCCCATTCACCTGGAAATCCTCCACCTGTCATTGGACCCCCCACACGGAAGTCCTATCCAATCCATTTTACCTCCCAAGTGCTTATGGAACCTTCTCCTACTTCCCTGGGCCTCAGGCCCTACTCTGGCTCAGGTTTCATTATGTTTCCTCCTAGACTTTAT